CCCCCCCCAAGGGGGGATGGCCATACCGCAATCCCTTTTCCTCCATTCTCCTCTTGGGATTTTGGGCATGCACACACACACATGCGCCTGGTGTGACTTTCAAGCCACTGGGTCTGGGACTTGAACCACGGTCGACTAGAGGGAGTCTAGCACTTTAGCCACTATGGCACCTGCTGGCCCCCAGGGGATAAGTATTTTAACCCTTTCTGACACCTAGGCCACTCTGGCCACCAGGAAACACTTAGGGTGGCCAATCACTTTTGTCCAGGACTCTGCTCACAGCCTTCATGGCATGAATGCCTATCCTGATCTTTACCTGCCCAGGGAGATCCAATCAGCTTCCTGGGCCCAGGCTGAGGTGGCAGAAACTTTTTTATACACCAGTCATTTCTCATATGCCTTCTGTCAGGGTCCTGCTCACCTGGGTCTCTTGGGGGATCCATAAGGGTCTGGGTTCTGTGTGTCTACCACTATTGCCAAAAAGGCGTTGGAGTACTCTGGGGCAATTAGATGTCAGTGGGTGAATGGAGGCATGGACAACTGCAGGTATGAGTAAGGGAATAGAGGCTGAATGAATGAGCAACTCAAAAGTGTGGGTAACTGAGAGGCCAGAGTAAAAGGACACATGAAAGGCAGAGTGAGTGGAGAATGACTGAGCAGCCGGTGGAGGGATTGAATTGGGCGCTATGAATTTTCCCCCAGTATATTATTTTTTGGAGAGGTTTTTGCTATAGGGCGCGTGTGCTCGCCAGAAAGACAGAGAGAAACAGAGAGACAGAAAGCGAGAAATCATCCCCCAGGGGGGATGGCCACGCCACCGCAATCCCTTCTCCTCCATTCTCCTCACAGGATCTTGGGCGCGCAAGCACACGCACCCGGCGTGAGTTTAAGCCACTGGGTCCAGGACTGGAACCACGGTCGACTACATGGGAGTCCAGCGACATAGCCGTTACACTAACTGCTGGTCCCAATATCTTCTTTCTTATCTCCTTTAGTTTCTTCCCTCTTCCTGCAGCTGAGAAATGGCACCTGGCAAGGCAGGCACCTCGGACTTGCTGGTTCGGGGTAACCGACTCTCCTCCTGCCTTCAGTATCATCTTCCCCTCCTAAGCACAACCTGTGCCCCCTCACTCACGAGAACTTGGGGAGTGAGGCATTGCAGAGACGCTGGCGGGTGCGAGTAGGATTGGGTCCACAAGGGGGCGTGCACAGCCCCCAGGTACTCCACTCCGACCACGAGCCTTTCACTGCAATGAGAGGAGGGGATCAGAGAGTCAGAATTGAAGGTCTGAGTAGGGAGGTGAAAGGGAAGCTGCAGGGACATGGGGCCCAACAGCAGAGAGTTGGCACCACCCGCCCCTGCATGGGTTGTCCCTGCCCCCATGACGTAGTCTGTGGAGACACTCACACACGCAGCGCTGGATGTTGTAGCAGTGCCGGATGTCCTGTTGTATCCCCACACATCGATGTCCATCAAACTTGCGGCCCAGGCAGTTCCGGGAACGTGTCTGCTGGCCGGGGATTTCCTCACAGCTGATGGACTTTATGTTCCGGCGGGTGCAAATGCTCCACTCCCCCCAGTCCCCCCACACTCCATCCACTGCAGAGACAGGGCAACAAGGGCTTGAACCAAAGCAGGGAACCAGCAAGGGGGTTCAGAGGAAGGAATGAAAGCTATGGGAGGGAGTAGGGACAATCAGATGTGGGTATAGGGGATCAGAGGTGAAACCAAGGCACTGGGGCTGGGAAAGGAAGAGCTAGAGTACGGAACAAGGTCTCAGCAGTGGGGACTGGGCAGCAGGGCTAGGCAGGGGCTTGGGCATGGAAGTGGTACATCCTGAGGTTCTGACCAGGGCAGGGTGTGGCTGTGTTACAGATGTGCGTCCGGACGGCATCACCCACACAGAAGGGGCCCCCATGCTGGGGCACTGGGCGATCACATGTCCGTCGTTCCAGGGTCTGGCCCAAGCCGCAGGTCACAGGGCAGGGGTTTACAGGGCCCCATGGCCCCCAGCCCCCAGCCACTGTTGGGGGATGGA